AAAGAGAGAGAGAGCCGCCAAACCATCAGCACACCCCTTGGCCGAAAGAGGAACAGTGGATTCATCAAAGCGCATTGAGCAAGTTCTTCAAAACCCGCGCAGTCACTTTCAGGAAACGGCGGCCACAGTGGAAAGCGCTGCGCGGCCGGGCGCCTCTTCCCGGCGCCGGCGGTTCTGAGAACCCCGGGGATGGCACGGGGCGGGGCGGGGCGGGAGGCTGAGGAGGGCTGACAGCTGTCACAACAAATGAGCTGAGAGCAGCTCGAGATTGAAACCGCACAGGAAGTGGAGCGGCAAGCCGCGCCGGGCTCTGTGAATTTCAGTCCAGAGACCGAGAGGAGAGTTTCGAGATCAACGCCCGGGAAGCCCCTGGCCGCCCCAACTTTCTGTCTTTCCTTTTTATGTGAAGAGCGCGTGCAGACGCCCGGCCTCCCCCGCCGGCCCGGGCCGGGTCCCAGATCGCTCCCGGTCCCGATCCCTCCCAGTCGGGGCCACTCCGGGTGCCTGGTCTCCCATCGCTCCCGGTTCCGATCGCACCGGCGCCGGGTCCCCCATCGCTCCGGGTACCCATCGCTCCCGGTCCCGATCACTCCCGGTACCGGGTCCCCCGTCGCTCCCGGATCCGATCACTCCTGGCACCCGGTCGCCCATCACTCTCGGTCCCCGCTCCAATATTGTTCTTGGTCACGGATCTGCTCCTGGCCCCGGCTCCCCCATCGCTCCCGGATTCCACTCGACCCTGTGGCCCCCGCAGCGTTACCCATGGCCACGCGGTGCCCCCAGCTTCGTCCTCCTCGCGAGGCCGCCAAGCCGCTTACCCATGGCCCGGCGAGGTCTTGTGTCTCTGCCCAGCGACCCTAGTGGCACACCGTTGTCCCAGTCCCGCGCTCCCGGCGCTACTGACTCGCGGCACAGCTCCCGGGCCAGCTGCCTCAGCCCCGCCCCTCCAGGGCTCCGCCCCCTCCGTGCTCTAGACTTCCATTGGTGAATCTCAGTTTCTGGGCTAAGACGGGGTCCGCCCCTTCGAGCCCGGGGACGTCTGGGAGTTGTAGTGTGCGCCCACTTTGACCTAGCCGGCCGGATGCCGGACAGTCAGGAATCATTGCTGTTCTGTGCCTGTTTCCCTAAAGACAAACTCTTCGCTCTCTGGAGCGCACCAAAGACAAAGTGTGGTTAACAAAGTGCTTCTGATTGACTTGGTCCTAGCCCCTCCAACCTGACAGAAAGGTGGGTAGTGTTAAGTCTACCAGGAGCCAAGCTAGCAAGTCCTTGGCCCAGGCCTAATGTCCCAGGCCTGCCTTTAACCTCCATGCCTATGTATGTCATGCCAGACTCAGCAACAGCCACAGTCCACGCAGTTCTGAGAAGAGTCCTTATCCCATCTGAGGGAGAGGAGGGTGAGGCTTATGGTTAGTGGGGGCAAGAGGAGGTAGAACCAGCCAGAGCAGTCACTTAGACCTGTGTGGATCATAGAAGATGAAACTGAGACTTGAGTTTTAAAAGTGAAAAGCTTTGCAAGTGAAAAGCTTACACTAGAACTCTGTTCCTAGTACATAGTTGGTGTTTCCTAAATTTTGTTAATTTTAATTCTTACACAGCTCTGTGCATTTCACATCATTTTTAAGAGCAAACAGGCCCAAGAGATTACTTAGCTCAAACACTATAGCTAAATCTAGGACTTGGGGCCCAGAAGAAGTGCCCTCATACCCAAGGCTTCATACACTGCCCCAATCACACTGGTGCTCATATTTACATTGAACAAATGGATTGGGCTTTGCATTTACTGAGCCTTTATCCATGGGCTCTGGGATGACAGATCCTACAAGTTCAGCCTGGAGCTGGCACCTCTGGGCTTTGCATGATGAAGTCCTTGCCTAGTGCTCCACAGGGTGGTTCTCAACAGCTAGCAATCGCAGATCTGACAACAGACACATTGTTGTCAATATTTATTAACTGCCCAGGACAAGTATTAGAATAACCATTGCAACAGTGCCTCCCACTTCCAAGATTACAAGTCATACTCCACCCCAGGAGATCTGAGACTATGACAAAGATGCTATCTATGAGTGGACACCACCCGGAAAACCCACAGGCTTCTAGTCCCACCTGTGTCCATTTGGTAATGATTGATTGGACCAGCCACAATGGAGATCTGGCTACTGCCTTCAAGGGTCATAGTCTAGGCTATTCCCTCCTAAATTGGCTATCACTATAGATGAGGCACTCACTACCTTACAAAACAGCAGCTCACCCTACCTGGGGATGATGGGAGGATCCTGCCATCCTGGCAGGAGCACACTCTTAGACAGGGCTGTTTGTGCAAACTCTCAGCAAGTCAACACCTGCCTGGGCCAAGATGAGAACAATGTGATCTAAATTTAATTGTCTCCCAAGGCAACTATTTGCAACAGAAAGTAATTTACAACAGCTAATATATCATGCTGAGGAATTATATCTCCATTTGCCTTCCGAAAAGCACACACACTCCCATTGCTCAAGTTTCTGTTTTACACCCCTCCACCCTGGCTCACAGCTACCCTCCACCACAGGGTATCAGCCCAGGATAGCCTGAGGCGGTCACCAGCCCCTTCGTGTCTTGGTGTCCCTCTGTGTGCCTCCAGAAGAAAAACAAAATCCCACTAGCACATAAACACATTCTTCCTGTAAAATCATTGTGAATAAATCAGTCCTCTCTGGCCCTGCCCCAAATCCAGCTCCCTCCCTCCCCATTATCAGATTGGATAAAGTCTTCTACAATGTTCCTTGCTTATTTTCATAAATACAAGTATCCATGGTGTGATAAAACATGTAGCTATGTGTTATGTGTGTTGTTAGCCAATAGATTCTGATTGTTCCATTCCATAGCCACAGGTCTTGGAGATGTCTACAGTTAGAACACAGATTGACTTTGTGTCTTTATGCTATCTTCTCTTAATGGTCCTTCACCCCTCCCCTCATTACCTGAATCCTGCTGAGAACATTCTAGACTCTTTAGAGTGCTTTAGGGGAGAGACTGAGCAAAGGCTGCCTTCTAACACCTCTTGTTGGTCCATTTCTAGGAAGAGAACCTAACCAAGGGGGCAGCCTCATTGCCTGAGGTCACACAGTAAAGTCAGTACGGCTTCTTCTGAAACTTTCAAAGCTATTTGGTGCTCTCAGAAAACAGGCAGAAAACAGAACATGCAGCCTGTTTTCTACCCTGCTTCTGCTCTGTTCCCAGGCTCAGCAGTTGCAGAATGCCCCTGGGGCTTTGTTTTCAAAGGGGAGTGAAGCTGGAAGTATTTTTAACGATGGCCCTGCCTCTCCCCCACTCCATGCTAGCTGTCCAGGAAAGGCCGGCTTCACAGTGGCATTTGCAACTCACGGAAAACAACAAACGCTTAAAATAGATGATACCCAAGCCCAGGAATGGAAAAAATTGGCTCATGGTTTCAAATGCCTCTTTTAGAAAAAGACAAGAATAGCTTGTGGCCTTTGGGGAACGACTGGGGATGAGGGAGTGGGGAGGTGGTAGGGCTGGAGTAGGGCTGAGTCCCAGATCACCAGGGGAAGATTTCCTTCGAGCAGAACTATATGGTCCCTTGTCCCCAGAGTGCTTCAAAGCAAGCCCTCCAACCTCCCTCGGCACCTCCTTGCTGAGTTGCGAGCAGCTTCCTTTATTGGGTTAGGACTGGGCTGGGGGTGGGGGACTCCCTGACCCTCTTCCCACCCAACAAAAACCAAAGTTGCTGAATTTCCTGTGTGCCTAAAAGTAGCAGTTGAACACTCCTGAAGTAGGGAGAAATTTGGGGTTTTCATCTGCACACAGACACAGGCCAGATGTACAACCTTGGGCAATTTGCTTGACTTCTCTGAGCTGCAGGTGCCTTATCTGGGAAAGCAGTGATGATGCTGTGTCCATCCATCCATCTGACATGTCCTACTGTGTGCCAGCACCAAGTTAGACACTGACATAGCCACTACCAAACAGCAAAGTCTCTAATGTTGTAGGACAGAAGACACTGTCTCCCCTTTCAGTCACACAGCCCAAGGCCTGTGCTGGAGGTCAGCATAGTGTGATCTCCATCAGACCCTGTGCAGACCCTGACTTTTTTCATTTTATGTCACCCGCTCCCTACCAGTTGGACACTATATTTGTCCCCAAGGGATAAAGTTGCTAGATTCTGGTTCCTTGTGTCATTTTCTGTTATAAAGTGGTAAATCTGGATTGGAAGTCAGTACAATCACACTGAAGAAGGACTTTTTAAAAAATATTTTATTTATTATAAAAAATATTAGTGTACCCATGTTGCAGTGCCGTGGAGGTCAGAAGAGGGCTTCGGATTCCCCTGGAACTGGAGTTAAGGATGGTTCGTAGCCACCATGTGTGTCCTGGGAATCGAACCCGGGGCCTCTACAAGAGCAGCCAGTGCTCTTATCCGCTGAGCCGTCTCTCCAGCCCGAGAAGGACTTTTTAATGAAGTAAGGTACTTTAAGATTTCAGAAGGCCCTTCAATCTTGTTTGTGTACCTCTTGACAGATGGGTAAACTGAGGCATGTAGCGCTTAAGTGACCTCTGCCAGGACAGTCCTTGCCCAATGCTCAGCAAGACTCTGGAAAGCAGAGGCGTGAGCGATGGAGGGTCGGGGGTGGTGGTGGGGGTGTCAACCGAGAACTACATCTCCCAGGATGCCGTGCAAGGGGGGGGCGTGTACGGGTGGAGTCCATTCTTAGTACCGCTGTAATTTCTTGGCATTGCAAAAAAAAAAGTGTGTG